ATTTTTTGTTTCTTGCTGGGTGTGTTGTGCTTACATATTTTTCTAAATGTATCAGTTAGGATTAGATTTGGCTTCACATAACATGAAAACCCAATATGATAGAGTCTTGAGCAGTAGAGAAATTACGTCTTTCTCTTGTAAAACAAGATAGGAAATAAACAGGACTTATATGTGTCTCTAAGAAGTCTTCAAGGAGCAAGGCTGCTTCTAGGCCTCACTCTCCTTAAGTGCTTTATTCTCATGGCCCAGGAAGACTGCTAAGAATTCAGTCTACACTAATGAGTATGAGGCACATAATGGAAGAAGAGAACAATGTGCCCCCTTCTGTTTATAGTGCCTTGCTGGAAGTCTCACGTGACACTTCAGATTACATCCCATTGACCAGAAAGTATTCCATGGATACACCTAACATCTGGAAAGGATGGGAAGTTGTCTCTTAGTGAGGCAGCAAGAGGACAAGCTTAACTCTGAGTTTCTGTTACCAGGAAAGAAGGGTGGCTGGGCAGGGTGGCTCATGCCTGTAATCTCAGCACTTTGGGAGGCTAAGATGGGCAGATCACCTGAAGTCAGGAGTTCGAGACCAGCCTGGCCAGCATGGTGAAACTCTGTCTTTACTAAAAATACAAAAATTAGCTAGGTGTGGTGGTGGGCACCTGTAATCCCAGCTACTTGGGAGGCTGGGGCAGTAAAATCGCCTGAACTCAGGAGGCGGTGGTTGCAGTAAGCCGAGATTGCGCCATTGCACTCCAGCCTGGGTGACAAGAAGGGAATGATGGATGTTGGAAATATCATTATTTTCCATCCCAGTTCCAATTCATCTCTTTAGTCAAGTGGTCTCCTGAACACATTTGCATTTTCCCACTTCTCCTTTGCTCCTGTGGGGTTTTCTCTGCTTAAAGAGTGTGCTTTGCTGCCTCCAGCTAGTGAAACGCACCTTTTCCATGAATCCTTCCCTGAATACTCTTCTGAAAGAAAGCTATTTCATCTTGGGATTTCTATAACACTTACTTTCTCTACCATTCATATATTTATCACACCTTACCTTACATAACAATCATCTGTATATATTTGTATATATGTTTTATCCTTCTGTTACATTGTGAATGTCAGAGGGCTGAGGACCGGTTTTAGGTATGATTGCATCTCCAAATGTGGCTTTGCTTTGGCCATATTCATTAATTAAACAAAAATTTCTTGAATGAGTACCCTATGCCAGGATACTGTGATGAGCAAGAGTCACATGTCTTTCAGGGAGACAGACTAACATACAATGTGTGGTAAGCGCTTTTGCTAAAGAAATAAATGAATTGTACCCCCTTCACTTATTTTACAGTTCTAAATTGAAGAAAGTCAGCATATTTAATCTTATTTCTTAGAACAGATAAGCACATTTTTAGAAAACCACAGCAATGAGTTATGAATACTTGAAGTAATATGATATCCATATTTATAAGACTCGCATCTGTAATTAGTAAATAATACAAATGTTTAGTAAAGTTGGACAATTTGGGGGCTGCAGCTGCTCTAGAACAGAAGTCCCCAACCTTTTTGGAACCAGTGACCGGTTTCATGGAAGACAATTTTTCCACAGATGAGGTTGGGGGGATTGTTTCAGAGGCATTAGATTCTTATAAGGAACTTGCAACCTATATCCCTCACATGGGTGTTCTTGCCCCTATGAGAATCTAATGCCATTGCTGATCTGACAGGAGGCAGAGCTCCGGTGATAATGTTTGACTGCTGCTCACCTGCTGGGCGGCCCAGTTCCTAACAGGCCACGAACTGGTAGTGGTCCACGACTGGGAGGTTAGGGACCCCTTCTGTAGAATACTCTCTCTCATTCTTTCCATCCCACCTTCTCCTCATCTCCTTTCTCTTCCTCTTTCTCATCATTTTTTCCTCTTTTTCCTCGCTTCTCAAAAGGTTGTGGGGCAACTTATAAAAATATATAGCATGTAACAAGATAAAATATAATTAAATATAAGTAGGTCAAACAATTGAAGAAAAGATCAAAAAAATAAGTCAGAGTGAGATTAGTAAACAGAAAGAACTAATGGATGTTTTAAGGGCTTCTAACATTTTCCTAGGAGTACACTCTAAATTTAGACCTAAAATTTAGAACAACTAGCACAGAGTGTCATGATCAGTTACACAAAATAGTGTATTTTCTTTGACGATGTCTGTAAGTAGATGAAAAGTCGGATTAATGTATGTTTATAGGGGTAACTTGAAGGTTAGTGCTAATTACAAGGGTTCTTCCCCCCATCCCCCTGCTTTGGTATGTTGCATATGCAGATAGCTTAAAGCATTTGCTGATAAAAGTATGTTCCCCAAGGCTACTTCTGGACCTGGACACAGCTGTCCACTCTCCACCCTCCAGTCACTGCCCACAGCTGAATAACCCAAGTTGCAGTGCTTCATGTGGGTGTTCAAAGCAACTCTGCCTCCTTGCATTTGCAGAAATACTTATTGTTACTATGCAGGTAGTTTCTAAGCCAGGAAAATTGTTTACTTGTCTTTTAATGAGCATTGCCTCAGTCATAAGCGTAACAGAAGGTAGAGGAGAATGACTCCCTCTTAACATGACTTTTCCAAGAGGGGGAATAATTATAGTTCTTAGAAGCAGGAAGAACTCTGGCGATGGAGACTGAAAATTGTTACAACAACATTAAGCCTATTACCACCATATTCAGTAAGCCTTGACTCTCCCTTCCCTTTAATCGATAGTTGTTTTAGGAGTATAATTGAGATGCAGAGTTGATTGTATTTAAGCAAAGTAGATCACAGCCTTAGGTTTGATCAATAGCTCCATTAGAGCTTTTAAAAAAGTCCACATTCCCAGGCTATATATCTAGGGATTCTGATTTAGTAGGTCTAGGTCTGGGGATCAGTATTTTAATAATACTTGATAAAGGATTCTAATAAGCTGTGGGTTAGAGATTTGCTATTTTAGGCCTTGTTGTGTGACTGACATACCACTTTGAATGCTGAGGAGTCTGCTAAGCCAAAGGTTATCCTTCAGTAAACCCAAGTCTAGAAGGTAGGCCAATGGTGGGATTCTGGCCTTATTGATCCCCCACCGATTTGCAGTGTTGTGTTATGTGTGGTCTGTAAGCATCTCAGGTGATGTGTGCTGGGCTTCCAGATTGAGTTTTTTCTTCATTGCTGAAGTGAAAGGCCCCGTGGCACCTTGGAAAGCATGTTCAACCTTGGAGCCTGGAGTCCTGGGTTCAAGTTCTGCCTTTATTACGTATTAATTCTACAATTGCAAACAAGTCACATAGCTTTCCTGAGTTTGTTTGCTTTTACAATGGAGATATAAATTAAATTTTCTGTCTCCTAAGGTGGTTGTGAGGATTCTCACATATAACCCATGAAAGTGATTTGTGGGCTGTCAAGTGCTCTGTATATATAAGGGATTATTTTTAATGAAATGTTTTCTCATCAATGGATTGACAGTCTCTTGTTGATAAAGAAACTACAGCCATGTGTGGGTTTTCTGGCTTGTCATTTCACAGCCAGCCGTGCAGTGCTGGGTGAGTAGAACTACTGTAGGAATATCACAGAGGCTGTAGGGGATGTTAGCAGGACCAGAATAGCTAGGGGCACCACAAAATCTCAAGGACTAAGGCAGATACCTACTGTCTGATCATTTGATCATCCCTAGCTTATAACAACTCCTCCTTTTCTGAGAAATGCAAATGGGTACCTGTATCTACACCATCTGGGGCTGCTTCTGATATATCTAGGGGTAGACCGTGACCCAACCCAAACTGAACCAAGCACATTCTTCAAGAAGAAACTAGTCCTGGGTCAATAAGAGCATTGAATTGAGAATCCACACGGGATTCTGGGTGTTTGGAAGGAAGAGTTGAGGGTCAGCAGTGAGGATCATTCCTGACAAGAGTTTCTCCAAGGGTATACCTATTCTGAATCTTGTTTGATGGAAATTGTTGGTAGGCATACCTTTTCTAGTGATTGAAAAAAATCTAAAATCTGCTAGCATGTCTTCATGCTGAGAGAAACATTTGTGCTTGTGTTGGCCATTTCTAGTAGTTTCTGAAATTGATAAGATCGAGGGAAAAAGATGCCTTTTTGTGGCTAGTTTTGCTAAGTTCAAGGTCTTATCACCTAAGGAAGCTGTGTGACGACCCATCATACCAGGGTTGAAAAGGAGATGTAAGTAATAGATATCCTATCCCAACTATGTCCTTCATTCCCTGTTGTATGAGGAAAAATTGGACCAGTGATAGTACGTCCCAAACAGAAGGAAATAAAACGTAAGTATCACTAGTTTTATAACTATGAGGATTCAAAATCCTCAAAGGAGAATTGAGGAGAGCTGATATTTAGTATCCACTTTCCTCCTGGTTCTCAGCACCTGTCATTCCCAGGATGCTTTCTGGGCCCACTGCATCCTTTCTTTTTCCTCCCCAATCCTGACCTAACCTCTCTTTCAGCACATAAAATTCCACTTCTATTGCCATATTTCAGATTGTTTTTAGGAAAGAATATAGCTATCTGATGAAATTAATTTGTATTTCCATTTGCCATCAATTTGAGGTCATTTTACATTTGGCTCAATACTGTGTTTAAGATGCTATGACCTTCTCTTTTCACTGTATTGCAAGAAACTCAATTGTAAGCTACGACTAGATATAGGAAAATAATGGATGTCTCTGCTGGCATATGCTCTGTAAAATATGTAGATTCTAAATATTAGTTTGATGTTCTTACTTTAGGGACTTCTCTCCCAGAGGTTTATTCTATTAGTTGATTTTAGTTTTATCATCATTATTTTGACTTATTATGCAAGATTTAATATATATATTGTTGCTTGATGTAAAATACCCTACATTGTCTAATGAGATGAAATTTTTGTAATTCTCTCAAACATGATTCCCCTTAAAATATAATTAGGATCTGAAGGAAATCATTTTATAAAATCAAAGCTAATTCATTTCAAAAATCTTACTTTTGTTTTTTTCCAGGAAACAAAGTCCCAGGGTATTTGGATGGTTGATTTGAATCCTTATCTGCTTGAGGAGACATTGCATCATACAAGGGTTCAGCCTCAACCTTTTGTAGAGAAAAGAGGTAGGTCCGTTTTCTGATTAGGCAGAATATAGAACCCAAGATACATGAGGCTGCTAAAATAATTGTTATTTGATTATCTACTATGATATTTTCTTGAGCAAGTTGACTTTAGTCAATTTCAGATCTGGAAGAACTAGTTGATTACTAATTTAGGAGAAAGTCAACCTTACTGACTCATGCCTCTTGAAATTTGCATACTTAAATTCTGTGTTGATAAATTAGACTTGAGTTATTATGCTATGCCACTAATTTAACTTTTCAGCTGACTTTAAAATTAATGAGCCCAAGCCTTTTCTTCTGAAATTTATTTTAAAAAGTCATGTCCATAGAGTAAAAGGTTGTTTTCCTTGCCTATATTTTCTCCCTCGGGAAGCTGTGTAATTCATTCAGTGTTTATAATGGTTACTGACTGATCAGTGAAAATGAGGCAGAAGGGCGGACTTCAGCTCTGCATCTCCAGTTTGCATTAAAGGCATCCTTTATTTAAAATGGTATTTTACTAATGAATTAGCTTGAACATATCTCAGGAACAGGTCAGAATGGAATAGGTTAATACATTTCAGTAAGGATTCCTGAACACGATTTGTGTGTACTTGTGTGTTTCGAGATCCTTAGGGGACCTTTGTAGTAAAATATTCAGGAGGTTTTCTATCTTTTATTTAAGGAAGAATATTCAAGAACTTGCTTAAATAAATGTTTTCTTGTCTTGAATTTGGCCTTATAAATCATAGATAATATATTTATTTCCAGTCTGTTTGTGAGAAACCTGCCGTTTTGATGCCAGAGTTAAGTGAAAGAGAAAAGAGAAAGGAGAAAGCTGCTTCCTTTTATTGTATGTCTGTTAGGACTCACTGCTGCAATGGGGAATGCTCTTGGGGATGTTTTTCCAGGATACACTTTGCATGAGGCCTGAGTGATAGTCCACAGATAGCTAGGCTAAGCCATGATTAAAGTTCAGTACCTGCTCATGGAACAGAAAGATGCTAAACCTTCCTGGTATTCTTGAATTCATTAGCACTGTGCCAAACAAACTGGCTTTTGTATATACCGGCAGGATCATTTCCAGACTGAAAAAAAAAAAAGAAAGAAAAAAAGAAGAAAGAATAAAATGGAGAAAGAAATGGGTACAAGTTCTTTGGGAATGAAAGTTGAGGGAGAGTGTTTTTAATATGTCCCTAAGCAGGCCAGCCCCTGATGTTATTGATGGTTCTACACTGGCTGGGCCTGCGGTTGGAGGAAGTAAGATAGGGCCAGAGCTAGTAGAAGTATAAAGTTGGAAATCACAACTATATACAGTGTGAGGGAAGAAGGTAGAAACTGACTCTGGGCTAAGGGCAGGACACAGAACTATAATAACTGTTGTTATTATATTAATTCTTGTAGAAATTGTAGCATTTGCAAATGAAGAAATCCTACCACTACAGTCTAAACTTTTCATTTTTCAGCTGAGAAATCATACATCCAGAACATTGAGATAACTTCCCTAAAATTATACATCTAGTTGTGACAAAGCTGTGACCAGAACACAACCACTCACCTTACCATCCCCTTTCCAGTGGATATTATTATCTCTGGACACTGTCTCTGTGACTGCAGGTTGCTCATGGCTGTAGTGAGAAATTGTTCAAAGTGTCCCACCATTCAATAAACATTTATTGAGTTGAACTCAATAAATGTAGAGATGCCAGGCACTGCTCTGGGAGCTGAAGCTTCTAGAGTGACATAGTGATTGTTTTGATTTTTCCCTGTGACTTCAACCCTTGATGCTCCTTTCCTCTGATCTTTTCTTTCTTTCTTTCTTTTTTTTTAAAATTTTAAGTGTTTTGTTAAAGATGGACTCTTGCTGTGTAGCCCAGGCTGGAGTGCAGTGGCTATTCACAGACGTGATCATGGGACACTGTAGCCTCAATCTTTTGGTCTCCTGTGATCAATCTTTTGGTCTCCGCCTCTTGAGTAGCTGGGAGTACAGGCCGACACTTTTTTTAAATCAGCAGCTCTCTGAGACTAATTTTCACAGTTTACATTAGCTTGCTGTTAGTTCTTGCTGGAGTGATGGTAATGGGTGAGGGTATCACTGGCAGTTGCAGAAGAGAGGGTGTCTGAGGTACACCGAAGTGATTGCTTACACTACATTAAAAGTTAAAAAATGTTCACAAATGTTTGCTTTCTTTAGTCTTTTAGAAAATCAAATGGGGCTCTAATGAAGACATTTTCAAGAGGAAGGAGCAACAATAAATCTTGGTTGTATTTAACTGCAAAAGCTGCCTCCTGAATAAAAATTTGCATATAGATTTCTCATGAAATGTCAAAAAGGCAAAAAGTTTGGAAGTGAGCTTGGAACAGAGTATCTTTATATCATGAAAAATAGATGATTATTTTCCCCCACACATTATGCTATTCATTTTTCTAAGACTCTCATGATATCCCAAATGCATATTTTATAATCTTAACATTTTGTAAAAAACCAGAGGTAAGCATTCTTTATTTCCCTCTGCTCCAGAAGAAAGATATACCTCTCCTACTTCAACTTGATAAGGAATATAAATACTATGTTGACAAGGTTATGGCAGAACTTTATTTTATATAGAAATAAGCCACTTCAGGGCCGGGCGTGGTGGCTCATGCCTGTAATCCAGCACTTTGGGAGGCCGAAGCTGGTGGATCATGAGGTCAGGAGACCGGGACCATCCTGGCCAACATGGTGACACCCATCTCTACTAAAAATACAAAAATTAGCTGGGTGTGGTGGCACGTGCCTGTAATCTCAGCTACTTGGGAAGCTGAGGCAGGAGAATCACTTGAACCAGGGATTTGGAGGTTGCAGTGAGTGGAGATCACACCACTGCACTCCAGCCTGGCGAGAGAGAGAGTGAGACTCTGTCTCAAAAAAAAAAAAAAAGAAACAAGTCACTTCAATAGCTCAGAGTTTGGAGTTAAAATTATTTTAGCATTTTGAAGAATTACCTACCATTCTGATCAATGCAGGACTCAGTTAACTATGTCGCTCTAAAACTGAGCCCAGGAACATCTGATTATTTTATCTTCAGGAAAATTCTACAAGTATTAATGTAATTTGAAAATTCTACATAGATTTAGCCTTCATTGAGGGCTGTTAGAATATATTAGTTGTTCATTGTTAGACATAGTGTTCGCTATGTTCTGTGATGTAAGATTAGTTGTTCACTGACAGGCATTGTGTTCACAGAATGCTGGGGATGGCTTACGTGGTTGCTGCAAGGGAGATTATATTCTACTCGTCTAACCAACATCTTTCGCAGGGAAGAAAATGATGTAGAAAAGGAAAAGGTTGCTGTAGCTCAGCATAATTTTGTTCCTTTTTTCCTTATTGAAACACTAGTATTTACTTTTTTTTTTTAACTCTTCACATATTTTGAAATTGTTTTAATGATTTACCCCAGGATGAGGAAGCATATTTTGTTAGGGGTAGATGCAGTAGATTAGAATGATACTCTCTCTGCTCCACCCCCTCATCCCTAGAACCTGTCACTATGTTACCATCTTTGGCAAATGGGACTTTGTAAATGTGATTAAGTTAACAGGATATTGAAATGGGGGGGGGTGTGGATTATCCTGGGTTACCTGGGTGGGCCCAAACCAATCATATGGTTTCTTAGCAGTAGAGAACTTTTCTAGGCTGAGATTAAAAAGAGATGTGATACTGGAAGAAAGATCAGAGAGATGCTATGTTGCCAGCTTTGAATGTGAAAGAAGTGGGCCATGAACCAGGGAATGCCAGGGGGCTCTTGTGCTGGAAGAGGTGAGGACAAGGATGACCAGTGGGGCCTCCAGAAAGGCACACAGCCTCGTGAACACCTTGATTTCAGCCCAATGAGACTGTGTCAGGCTTATGACCTTCAGAACTGTGAGATTATGAATGTGTATTGTTTGAAGTCAAATTACCTAATATGTGATAATTTGTTACTGCAGCAATAGAAAACGAACTCAATAGAGATATGATTCAACAAGAGAAAAGGGAGGGTGAGATGACTGGATGGAGAAGTGGTAAGGGAGTAGCAATGGAGCCTGGATTTTTCTTTTTCTATTTTTTAAAAACAGTCTTGTTCTGTTGCCCGGTTTGGAATGCAGTGGCACAGTCTCAGCTCACTGCAGTCTCTGCCTCCTGGGTTCAAGCAATTGTCCTGCCGCAGCCTTCTAAGTAGCTGGGATTACAGGCACGCGCCACCACGCCTGGCTAATTTTTGTATTTTTAGTGGAGATAGGGTTTTACCATGTTGGCCAGGCTGATCTCAAACTCCTGGCCTTAAGTAGTTTGCCCGCCTTGGCCTCCCAGGGTGCTGGAGTTACAGGCATGAGCCACTGCACTCAGCCTGGATTTTTGAATTAAGGTTTTCATAGATGATTTGAAATTAGGATTATGTGATAAAGCTCCAAGTGTCCTCATAATTGTGCACTTTTCTAGCTAGTGAAATGTCAAACTTCAGCAGCAAACTGAAGGAGAATCTCACTAAAATAGAAGGTGAGCTTCTATGAGGGCAAGTGACCAGCAATAACTTGAGGGAAAATGGCCCACGTGATGTAGTAACGATACCATTTGCTTATGTGCTTTATGATCTGTTTCAGCTTCTGACCTGGTATCTTTAAATACAGTTTTTGCATCTAGTTACCAAGAGTTGCTGGAGCAACACAGACAAAAGACTTTTACATGGCCAGGCGCGGTGGCTCAAGCCTGTAATCCCAGCACTTTGGGAGGCCGAGGCGGGTGGATCACGAGGTCAAGAGATCGAGACCATCCTGGTCAACACGGTGAAACCCCGTCTCTACTAAAAATACAAAAAATTAGCTGGGCATGGTGGTGTGTGCCTGTAATCCCAGCTACTCAGGAGGCTGAGGCAGGAGAATTGCCTGAACCCAGGAGGCGGAGGTTACGGTGAGCCGAGATCGTGTCATTGCACTCCAGCCTGGGTAACATGAGTGAAACTCCGTCTAAAAAAAAAAAATAAAAAAAAAAAGACTTTTACATTAACCTCAGACATTGTATGCCTACTAAAGAAGTCTGGAACTGGTGTAGAATAGCAATGGAGAGTTAAGGTAACTTGCAGTAGTACGGTTTTGGTTTTTTTTTTTTCCCTTTACATGAACAGAACATTTTATTTGGGAGAAAGAGATTCTGGATGCAAGAGAGGCTGACAGGATTTTCCTTAAAATAAACCCAGAGAGAAATAGATCCCTTGGAAGCTGTGCCACTCTACCTATGATAAGAATGCCTGTAGGGATGAGTATACTTTATATACGCCATAAATTATATAAATCTATAGAAATATCATGAAATATCTTCCTGGAAGTCAATTAATTAATTGAATAATTTTAAGAAAACATTTCTTAATGTGAAGCAGCAAATTATGAAATAGAAGGCATGATTTATACAAATATTTACAATAAAGATCTCAAAGGAATTTCATGTTGCCACAAACTATAGAGGCTCACCCTCCTGTGCTCCTAGAATGGGAAGAAAGCTTCAGGAAGCACTGGTGAAGGGCAAGCAAATAACACCTTACTTTCTTTTCACAGATTCTTCCTTCCATAGAGCATCACAAATGACTGAAGTTTTCTAGATAGTTACTTATTTTTTAAAAAAATGTATTTGTATAAATTATGGGACACAAGTGCAGTTTCTTTCTTTTTTCTTTTTAATTCTTTTTGTGGGGAGACAGGGTCTTTCTTTCTCACTCGGGCTGGAGTACGGGTGGCACGATCACAGCTCACTACAGTGTCAACCTCTTGGGCTCAAACAGTCCTCCCACCTTAGCCTTCTGAGTAGCTGGGACCACAGGTATGAGCCACCATGCCGGGCTCATTTTTTTTTATCTTTTGTTGAGGCAAAGTCTTACGATGTTGCCCAGGCTGGTCTTGGGTTATGGGACTCAAGCAATCCTCCAGCCTCAGCCTCTTAAAATGCTGGGATTACAGATGTAAGCCACCATGAAGGCTAGTGTATCGTTACTTACGTAATAAACAATATATGATTTTTGCATGCAATGTTATCAAATGAAAGTCCTTATATTTGTAAATATCTCTTGACATTTAAGCCCCGTGTGGAAAACATGTCTGCCGAGCAAGTTAGTTTATTTGCTTATTTAAGTGTATGTTTTGCAGCTAGATTATGCTAAAAGGTTGTGTTACATCCCAGGAGTCCTACTGAGATGTTTTATGGCTCAGATGAACATTTTGTTATCTTGTTTTACATTTTTTCTAAGCTAAAGTTTTTATGACTATTAAGCTATAGCAGAACCATTTAGCATCATTGTTGTCTAGTGAAGTGTGGACTTTTGGTTTACCTATTATCCAAATAGTTTACATTGCACCCATTAAGTAATTTGTCATTCCTCAGACCTTCCTGCCCTTTCTAGTCTTCAATGTCTGTTATTCCACATTCTGTGTCCATGTGTATATATGATTTAGCTCCCACTTGTAAGAGAGAACATGTGGTATTTGGCTTCCTGTTTCTGAATTATTGGAAATAGAAGCCATCATCTTAAGTGAAATAACTCGGAAACAGAAGGTCAAATAGATCTAAATGATAACCTGAAGTGTGTTCTATGAACTGGTCTATCTTGCAGCATTGAACTGTAGTGTGTGTATACTCTTCACAACTTGTCCTGAACTTTTCTCTCCAGAGTGGCTCCTACGTATCTGTCATTCATCTTCTGTTAGAGCCAAGCCAAACTGTTGAGTGACCTCTGAGTAACCCTTGGCGTGTTCTCCAGGGCTGCCTATCTCTTCATGTCTAAATCTAGCTTGTCATCAGGTCCTGCTCAGATGCCGTCTACTTCCTGAGGCCTTTCCAGACTCTCCCAGCAAGTGCTCTTTCTGTCTATGAGTGCCCACACCTTTTTACAAAAATTATTATACTTTAAGTTCTGGGGTATTTGTGCAGATCATGCAGGTTTGTTACGTGGATATACACGTGCCATGGTGGTTTGCTGCATCTATCCCCCTATCATCTATATTAGGTATTTCTCCTAATGTTATTCCTCCCCAATTTCCCCAACCCCCGACAGACCCCGGTGCGTGATGTTCCCCTCCTTGTGTCCATGTGTTCTCATCGTTCAACACCCCCTCATGAGTGAGTATATGCAGTGTTTGGTTTTCTGTTCTTGTGACAATTTGCTAAGAATGATGATTTCCAGCTTCATCCATGTCCTTGCAAAGGACATGAACTCTTCCTTCTTTATGGCTGCATAGTATTCCATGGTGTATATGTGCCACATTTTCTTTATCCAATCTGTCACTGATGGGCATTTGGGTTGGTTCCAAGTCTTTGCTATTGTAAACAGTGCCACAATAAACATAAGTGTGCATGCGTCTTTATTATTGGATGTTTTATAATCCTTTGGGTGTATACCCAGTAATGGGATTGCTGGGTCAAATGATATTTCTAGTTCTAGATCCTTGAGGAATTGCCACACTGTCTTCCACAATGGTTGAACTAATTTACACTCCCACCAACAATGTAAAAGCATTCCCATTTCTCCACATCCTCTCCAGCACCTGTTGTCTCCAGATTTTTTAATGATCACCATTCTAACTGGTGAGAGATGGTATCTCAATGTGGTTTTGATTTGCATTTTTTTAATGACCAGTGATGA